GAAGAGTGTTATTGAAAAACTTTAAACTTTCTTTCCAAAAGGTACTTAATACATGTTAGGAATCAGTAATATGCATCCTCATAACCAGTCACATTGTGTTGTAATTGTACTGTTCCAGGATCCATCCCAGAGACAAACAGGATGTAGCTCACAGATTAATGCTGGGCGCCCGAGCGGTGGCTTATGGTGAAAAGGACGTCCCCTTCCTTGGACCTTTCCCAAACCAGATCCTGTCCTCTGACCTTATCTTCGTTTCCTACGACCAACCCATAATTGTCTTGCCATCCAAAAACATCTTTGAGGTGAGGATGGCATCACAGAAAACACTGAATTAGCTGAAGATAAAATATTTTTTGTTTGTTCTTGAGTTTTTGTCTTGTTCTTTTTTTTTAGATCTGTTGCTCTGACACTAAAGCAACGTGTGGTCCGTCATCCTCGTGGGTTCCAGCTGCCATTGTGAGCTGGAATCGAACCTCTGTCCAGTTAAAACCTAGCTCCTGTGCTCCGCCTGACGTAGCAGCTCTGCGGTATGCGTGGAAAGACTGGCCCTGTGAGTTTAAAGCCTGTCCTGTCTACAGTTCCAGTGGGATCCTACCTGCACCTCCTTTTATCCTCAAACAACACACAGACACCACCACCTGGAAAAGACCATTAAGAACCTAAGAAACAAATTGTGTTGAAGTTATATTTTGACCAAATTTAAGAGATTTTAACGCAGTATCATGGTTTTTAGTTTCTAACATTAAAGCTTACTAATAATCTGGAAAGCCATTCTGTATATGAAAATATATGTTCATGACTCAGTCATGGAACAGATAGTGGAGCCCAAGTCACGCCCAACTACTTCCGGACCGTGGGTCCCCAGGAAGAAGGAAAAGATTAATGCAAGTCTAAAAACGCTATTTTCTAATTCCGCTTGTTTTGTGCCATGGATTTCACATATGATGTCAGGGAAATTTAAAGACACATTTTCATACCAAGAACGTGCGTATTTTCGAACAGGGAGAAACGCTAGTTTAGGTTTTGTGTGAAAATAAGTCCAGGACTACAAATACGCATCACGATAGTGATGTCATCGAACCAGACACGGAGAAAACTGAGGGAAATGGCTGAGTTCAGCAAACTTCCCACAGGAGGAAAGAACCACCATAAATCTGGTCATTTGGTAAGTAGCAGCTACTTTGTGGAGAGGAGATGATGTGGTGACGTCACATATGCGACGTGCCGATTTCTGGTGTGTAGTCATGCTAATTACAAACTTTTACAAGCTAATAAATCTCAAAGTACGTGACTGGCGTGGTCAAAACACCCATCATTACTTTTCATTTAAGTTGCAGTACAACGTATGTGTGATCCAGGGAGTAAGGCAAAGCGGATTAGAAAATAACGTTTTAGCCTCGTTGACTTGCACTCATTTTTTCGTTCTTCCGGGAACCCGTGAGCCGACCGGAGAGGGAGGAGACTTAGGCTCCCTATTGTCTTTCAAATGGTCTACGCACGCAGCTGGACAGTGCTAGGACCAATCGGAGCAACAAACATGCTACAGAAATCACTCAATGGGGCTGTCCAT